TGTGTAAAATTAAGTTTTTGTGTCTTAAACTTGCCCTGCTCAAACTTCAAGGTCTGCTCCTCTATGTCAAGATTTGTGAAGCTAACCCACATTCACTTGCACCGCTAGCACTGTTCTAGGCAGTGACTTTGTATCTCCCCAGAGCCTTCCTTCAGGCCCATTGTGCTAGTCCTGGCTGTTTTCGTAGGCCAGCCACCTTTCCCTTTGATTCTTCTCATTTTGATTTTCTAGTTATTAGTCCAAATTAAAGTCAATGCTCAAGACATCTTTGAGAGGTCTGTGTTCAGAGAAATAAAAACATTACTTCTTAGCAACACGGGTGCCCTGATGAGATTTGATTTGAAATTAACTTCTAGAGAGAAGGAATAATATTCAGGAACTTGCCCCCAGGGGAATGATTACATGAGGGACCAGCTATTCTGGGGCACCTGATGTATTCTGTGTCTTGTCTCTGCCCCCAAGTCTCCTACATGTCAACTTAGTAACAACAGTAATAATCTAACACTTATACAGTGCTGTGTCCAGCATTCTTCAGAGTACTTTGCAACTATCTCATTTAATCATCACAGTTCTAGAGGTACTTTCATTCCCACTTTCCAGACGAAAAAAATGAAACAGTGCAGTGAAGTAACCAGCCTATGATCTGACCACTTATTCCCCCTCAGGTCAGCTGGACTGCTCATTACCTTCAGGGAAAAGCCCAAACTCCCAAATATTCACAGGCCCCTAATTGTTACTCAAGCCTCCCATTGCAATGTTTCCTCCCCGTAACGTGGAACTCCCATCTGACACTGCCACCTTCGTGCTTGCTAAGAACAGATGTGCTGCATGCAGTGTTTTGGGGAGCCTAATTTGTGACAGAATCCGTAAGTCATATTTCAGGTTAAGAATCACATTGACAGCTATTGAGATTTCAGTTAGAATTTTATTTGGCATTCTAAAGATCTGAAACCAGGCCCAAATTCTGACTAGGTGGTCTGCTGGGGCAGAGGAGGGGTCACCCTAGACCAGTGGTTCTCAACCTTCCTAATGCCGCGACCCTTTAATACAGTTCCTCATGTTGTGGTGACCCCCAACCATAAAATTATTTTCGTTGCTACTTCATAACTGTAATTTTGCTACTGTTATGAATGTCATGTAAATATCTGATATGCAGGATGTATTTTCATTGTTACAAATTGAACATAATTAAAGCATAGTGATCAATCACAAAAACAATATGTAATTATATATGTGTTTTCCGATGGTCTTAGGCGACCCCTGTGGAAGGGTCATTCGACCCCCAAAGGGGTCACGACCCACAGGTTGAGAACCGCTGCCCTAGACCATCTTTCGCCCACTTCAATCACACCTAACCTCCAAGACTAACTTCAAATGCCATCTCCTCTAGTAAATATTTCCTACTACTCCGGCTCAATTTGACTTCCAGCCTCTTCGAATTCCCCCAGCATTTTGCTGCATATTATGGCACATACATGTTTCACTAAGAACCAAGTAGAAACTCTGAGTTAAGGTTAAGAGAACAACTCTATAGTGTTAGGCAACAAAACTAGACATGGCATCCAGAGTTGGAGGATCTGAGCTCTAGATAAATAACGGAGACTGAATTAGTACATTGAAAAGGGTAGAGAAGTGACTTTATTAACACACAGTCGCGCGTTTTTATTATCTCTTCACTTTTCATGCCCCTTCTATCTGCCTTCTGCTTACAGAAAAACCAAGACACAATTTGCTGGATATGTTGTTAGTTTTTAATAAATAGAAACCACATCACTTCATTTGTTACAGTGAGTAAGACATGGGAGGTAACCATGCCTGAGGGCCCCAGAAAGCTTTTTCATCCACCAAGCAACAGAAAGGACAAGCACCTTCACCGCCAAAGCCTTTGGTTCACTTCTTCTTTGGATCTCTGTCCTCCCACCACATCAGCCTGCTGCTTCCAGAATGGAACTCTGCCTTCGATTGGATCCTAGTTGGGAGGCTGGTCTATCAGCTTTCCTGAATAACAGAACGGAGTTCCCTCACTTAGCTGAGGAACCTGGACAAGTCTTCTTTGATCTCAGCCTCATCCCAAGGCCCATGAATGTTTTCTTTAAAAAGCTGTAGGCGAATGAGGTAAAAGGGGCAGAGGCAGGAGATAGACACCAGCAGAAGTGCAAAGAGGGTGGCTCCCACCGCACTGATGGACAACAGGCCCCCCAAGGCTGAGAATGCAAAGAGCAACGTGACTCCCACATAGCAGCGGGGAGTACATGCCTTCAGTTTCTTCTGTAACATGGGCCACAGGGCAAAAATCTGGATGGCAAATGTCACCATGATGAAGGCATGCAGGGTCCGGGGCAGGCGTGAGGCCAGGCAGACAGAAGCAAAGATGGCCATATTCAAGGACAGGGTGCTGGACACAATGGCAGCATTGGCCCCATAGTCGAAGAAGATGAGGTGGCCTAAGAGCATAAAGACTGACATGGCGTAGATGGTGTCCGTGCTGACAGACTCTGTCAGGGTCTTCAGCACGGGCGAGAAACCGTACGTGAAAGTAATAAAGACCAGGGCGCTCTTGAGGTCAGCCCACCGGGTTCGCCCACTCTTCCTCCGTCCTTCGCCTCCATCAAGGAGATCGAACAAAACATAGCCAGTCAGTGACAAAGCCAGGCCAGTCCCTAAAAGCCAGTGAGGGGCCAGAAGACCCTCGTCCATATACCACCAGATGACCCCAAAAACGCAGACGCTGCACAGCTGCTGTATCACCACGCTGGATTCAAATACCACAGCCCAGTACTGGTATTTCCGGGCATGGATGTTCTTCCGGAGCTCTTCCAGGAACCGCTGGTCCACGTAGTTATCGGGAAAGGGCTGTCGCTCATATAAGACTTTCTGCCACCTGATCTCCGTGGTGTTAGGTACAGGTTGGGCACACATCATCCTTCCCCTCGGCCTCAGGCCAGTTCAGTTTCCCATGCAGAAGTCCATGTGGTTCTTGTTCTTTATAAAGTCTCGAAATAAGACCTCTCCGGAAATCCCATGCTGTGTTGCGGTTGATATTGTGCCGGCCTTCCCTTGTTCTCAAAGGCTGCAACCCAGGCAAGGCCTGCAAGAGGAGTTTCTTCTCTGAGGCAGGACAACACAGCCAAGTTCCTACAAAAAGACAGACCATGAGCCTATAAAACTGCTGCAGGGTAAGGGCAGGGCTGCGTTAAAATCAAACCAACTCACTGTATTAGACGCCTGAGCAAAAATCTATGTGGTGGCCCTCTTATAATAATGACATTAAAATTTCCTTTCAGGTTTTCAATGACATTTCCTGGGATAATAATAGACCTCTGTCAGCTGTCACTCAGCTGGGCGCCTACAATGTGCTAAGTGCCTTAACTAGCTGCTGCTTTCATTCCATCTCCACAATCCTGCAGGTTGGTTAGTCCCACTTTAACTAGTAAAAAAAAACTTAGTCAAATCGCTCAGGTAACTCACCCAAGTTAACCATGGTAAGTGGTGGAGCCATATGCAAAGTCTGACCCCAAAGCCTGTGCCTCCCCCTCCAAACCAGCTCTTTAACTCGGGGTTCACACCCGGGAGGTTTGAGGATGGGCTGAGAGCCTCCCCAAGCCCTGTCACTGCATGCCCGTCGCTGCCACTTATGCAAACGTCCAGGGACGGGACCCAGAGCTTGGACTGGGGTCTCAAAGGCACCTGTTATTTAAAAGGTCTGAACAGTCAACTGCATCCTACAAGCAAAGTGAGCTCCACGGTTCATGTAGCCAAAGCCAATGACTCAAAGAAACTAAAGATCCTTTCACTGAGGTCACCCCCCTCTAAAGAGCTACCATCCAACTCAGAGAGAGAAACATCTGTGGGGATCGGAGACAGCGACCCGTTGGCCACAATGGGAAAGCCCGGCGTCAGACATGCCAGCAAACGTGCTCTCGGAAAGGGCTCTGAAGGCCCGGCCGCCCGCCTCCCGCGGAGACCGCGGCAGGTTTGGCTGCACGAGCCGAACCCGGGGCCCCGCACGGCAGCAGGGACCCCGGCCCGGGCCCCGCACGCCCGCCGCCGCCCCGCCGCCCCACCGGGAGGGAGGCCCCGAAACAGGACTCCCTCGGAACCCACCTGCCCGCCTGTTCGTAGGGAAGCGCGGCCGGGGGGACCGACGCCCGCCTCCTTCCCCATCCGGGGCGCCGGGGTCGCGACGGCGGCGGAGCACTTCCGGGGCCGCCTCAACCTCCGCGGCCGGAGCGCCCTCCCTGCGCCGGCGCGCTCGCTGCTGCCCCCTCGCGGCTGTTCACGGGACAGGAAAGCAACTCCGCCACCGAAAGACCCGGGACCGGCCCCCGAAGGGCGGGGTGGAGGCGGGGCTGGGCGACGCGAGCTGAGCGCGGCTGCCGGTGTTGAGTTCCCGGTGTGAAGTCAGGCCCTCGGCGGGGGCCTTCCCGGGGTCCGTGCATTCTCCCGGCACAGTCACCGAATCCCTGCAGGTGCTGGTGACACCGCCGCTGCCCGGGAGGGAGCTTTCGGTCCCGCGCACGGACCTGTGATGTGACGGCCGCCCCGCCCTCGTAGGGGACAGAACTGGGGCTCAGGGAGGTGGTGGTTGGTCCGCCCAGCTGGGAAGTGGATGCACAAAGTTAACGTCCTTCTTCTCTTTGCCTGGAGAAGGGATGAGGTGGCGGACTCCGCCGCAGACGTGGACTAGCAGGTCGCTGAGACCCAGCGGAGTGCATGGAGGCACCCGCGTCTGCAGAACAGAGGGGCGTGACCCAGAAGCAAAGGGACAGCGAACACATGACACGGGGGACACGACAGTCGGGAACCCCGAATCCTCGCCCTACCAGCGTGGCTCGGCCAACAGGCTGAGCTTCCATTTCTCCATCAGCGGAATGGGGACCACACTGTTTGCTCTTGGCCATTGTGTGGGCAACCCAAAAAGTTAACTAAATGTAACTGCTCACAAAAAAAAAAAAAAAAAAAAATGTATTGAGTGCTGTCCGCTGTCCAGCTGCCATCAGCTTGCTCTGGTCAAGCGCGACAGATTCTGGAAAATGATTTCTTTCCATGTCTCTCCAGGCTTCTGTTCCCAAGTTCGACAGGATCCCCTGGCTTTGTGAGGCCAGCCTGAGAAACAAGCCCCTGGTGCTCAGCCTCCCCAAAAGGTAAGAGAGCTCAGCTGCTGGTGGCAAAGGTTGCAGGGAAGGCCACACAGAAGCAAGGCCACGCGTCTGGTCAGTTGAGAAACCCACGTCAACTGTTCCCTGATTACATAGTCTTTGGTGGGAGTGGGAGGGGGTGCAGGGCAGGGGCTTGAACAAGGCAGGCCCAGCACGCAACGAGGTGTCCTCAGAACCTGCTCACTTTCACAGCCAGGTCCTGGAGGGTCAGAGGGGAAGGGAAGGGGACGGCTTTTCCTGCAGCCAGCCACGCTGGAGCTAGCTGCCAGGAGAAGGACCTGCGGTGGTCAGAGGAGCTCGCCACGTGTCTGTACGGGGAGGGTCCGGGCAGCAGGGAGCCCTTGTTGAGAGAAATGACACCCACCTGCCTCACAGGAGGTCTAACAGGATGGACCACACCTGTGAGGTGCCCTGCGCTTTGGGGAGGACAGGTAGGCATGCAAAGTCTGCTGAAAGGCTGGCTGTTTAAGTATCAGCAATTCCCGAGGATTAGGAAATCCTCGTCTGGCCACAGCTCTGGGTTCCACCCTGTTTATTTTTTTTATTTTTTATTTTTTTAAAATATATTTTGTTGATTTTTTACAGAGAGGAAGGGATTGGGATAGAGAGTTAGAAACATCGATGAGAGAGAAACATCGATCAGCTGCCTCCTGCACACTTCCTACTGGGGATGTGCCTGCAACCAAGGTACATGCCCTTGACCAGAATCGAACCTGGGACCCTTGAGTCCACCGGCCGACACTCTATCCACTGAGCCAAACCGGTTAGGGCTCATGCTGTTTATTTTTGACAAAACCCTTTCTGTTCTGTGTCACAGCTGCTTTGCCAAGGCTAGCTAAAGCTTAAAGCACATGTAGAACTTTCGTACCGTAATAAAATGAACCACACCAGCCAGCAGGTGTGCCACCCTGTGAAGAGCATCACTACTTCTCTTGCAAACCGCCAAGAAAATTCCAGGGAAAACGTGGTTGGAGGGAGGACATGGTCCACGGGAGGAGGTGGTGGATTGCCCCGCCCAGGGATGCCCCGTGGCTTCTCTCTGAAATAGCAAGGGCCTCGCCCTTCACACCAGAGACTGTGGTTCTGACAGGCTTTTGTTTTGATCACTCAGATACCCTCATGGCTCTGCCACGTCTCTGAATTCATGGAGGAAGGATGTGAATTCGCCAAATACGTTTCAAGTTCCAAATGGCTTATCTAAGGTACTCAACTTTTTTTTCTTTAATTGCAAAGAAACCAATAGCAGTTCTAGGACGACGTGAATGTGCCTCCAAAGACACTTCCTGTCTCCTTAGCACAGCCCGAGCCTGGGCCATGTCGGTGCTCAGTAGACATTTGCCAAGTGAAATGAACGAGCCCCAGCCAGTCACCTTGTTCAGGGCCCCCAGGTCCACTGGAGCTAAGAATAGAGGCCTGAGGGGAGAACCATCAAAAAGGGAAATTAGCCGGAACCGGTTTGGCTCAGTGGATAGAGCGTCGGCCTGCGGACTGAAGGGTCCCAGGTTCGATTCCGGTCAAGGGCATGTACCTGGGTTGCGGGCACGTCCCCAGTGGGGAGTGTGCAGGAGGCAGCTGATCGATGTTTCTCTCTCATCGATGTTTCTAACTCTCTATCTCTCTCCCTTCCTCTCTGTAAAAAATCAATAAAATATATTTTTTAAAAAAAAAGGGAAATTAAAAATTTCATGTTGAGGCATCTGCCCTGGGACCCTCAGGGACTGCTTCTCAGCCTTGTGTCCAGAACCACACCTAGTTTCTGAGTCTCTAACCCCCTCTCACCACCACCATAAACCCCTAGGATCCCTATTCACATAGGTTTTCACATTAAACAGTCCTCATCTCCCCTCCACCCCTGAAAGTCAACCGTGCCTGGCTGCTGGGTGACATGCAGTGACACTAGCCTCACAGAGGGTCCCCGAATTTATGGTGCTTGTGAAGTCAGCACCTCCCCGAGGTGGAGGAAGAGAGAGAACTCGGGACACGAGCAGTTTCTTCACCCGAAAGATTACCCAGCATAGGACTATTGTGGGCAGTGCAGGAGGCTGCGTCCCTAACGCATTTGGCCAGAGCTCTGTAGCTTCGGCCACGTCATGACCAGCCCTCACGCCGGGATAAGTGCTTTCGCAGCCCTTTTTACCTGGTTTCATACAGATACAGGGATGAGCAGGTCAGTTCCTGCCTACACAAATGACAGGGCGCAGGGACAGGCTCACGGCTGCCCAATGTATATCAGGGCAGGGTGGGAGGAAGGGTCCCCTGTGGGCGGGGAAGGGGCGAACAGAGACGGAGCGAGGGCAGGATCCAGAGGTAGTGGCATCTCACTGGCTCGGAAGATAGTATTTCCACGAGTGAGGAAGGGCCCGGGAAGCAAGACCTGCAACTGAGCAGGCAGGACTTGCCTGCAGAGCTTTGAGTGCTCAGGCCGCAGGGGCGCGGGCTTACATGGAAGGGACAGTGGAGCTGGGTGGGCCTGGCCACAGCACTGAGGGTCAAGGGCAGGGCTGTGCTCCAGGGTGACTTCATTAATCCCCCTAACACCCAGGCAAGCAGGTGAGAGTGCCTGCCGCCACGTCAGAGGGGCTGAGCAGGGACACGCTGGGCTTGGCAGTCCAGGCAGAACCAGCAAGAAGCCTTCTGGTCATTTAGTCTCCTTGAACTTCCTATGCAGACAGCCTCCCCCTGCCACCTAGCGCCACCTCCTGCAGGTTTGCTCTGGGTCTCAGCACACGTGCAGAGGCACTGACTCCAGGCACCCAGGACACAGGGGAGAAGGCATTGCTAAGGCCCAGGCCAGTGAGAGGTTCCCCTTCAACTGGGCTCGGAATTTCATGGCTGCAGTGCTCATGGGTGGCCACTAGAGGGCAGCCCAGAGCAACAGCTTCCCAGGCTGGGACAATGGGCACAGCAGGTCACAAGTCCATTACTGCTGTTGGTACCTCGCGGGTCTCTCTCTCTCTCTCTCTCTCTCTCTCTCTCTCTCTCTCTCTCTCTCTTTTTCTCCAACCTTTTCCATCTTAGAGCTTTCATCTGGGCCTTAGGATTACATTAACCGCAGACAAATTAGGGGGAGAAAAGCACATCTATTTACTATGTTTTACGTGACACGGGTGCCCTCCTACAGGAACAAAGACCCAAAGAAGTGGCAAAGCCAAAACGTTTTTATACGAGAGAGGCGATTGTGGAAAAGTAACTCAACTGCACGGGGAGGCTAGAGGGGAGAAGAGATTTAAACAAGGTCTGTTTGCAGAGAATTCCCTCAGCTTCATCTTCTGGTCCTTTACGATAAGGATGTTGCTTTCCTTCTGGTGTAAGGAAGGCCTCTTCCTTTTGGGGTTTTATCTCCTACTTTCAGGAAGAAAAAGGGGGGTCAGCGCACCCTTCATGCACCTGCTGTCTTACAAAGTGCCTTCAGCTCCAAATAACCCTGATGGCCCAGTGGCATGTTTGGGAGAGGCATATTCTGCCACCTTCATGGCAAACCTGGGTCCCTGTTCTGTTGGGACAGCTGGCAGGTATCTCAGGTCAGCTCCCAGCCCGTCACACAGACTCAGATCTCAGTCATTGGCTACAGACCTGAAGGCCCGAGTGTGTCTGCTGTGCGGTGAACAGCCACAGCTGCTCCTTTCTGGAAAGCAACGAGCAATGATGCATCTCATGGGAGTGGAATGCTCTGTGGACACACTATCTCTCCCTTTATCCTCTAAATCGGGGACCTACTGAGAGCTGCAGGCAGCCCTGCCGCCAACCAGACCTCCGGGCCCTCGGCGTGGTGCAGAGGTCCTGCCCTGGCTCCCTCTTCACCGTCACAGGTCAAAGGGCAGGACTTTGGTCATCCTCAGCCAGGTGGCGGTCCTTCCTGCCCGGGAGCTGTTCCTGGCCAGTGCAGGTGTCTGTGTGCCTGGAGTGTAGTCCTCCCTGATGAGAGAGGGAAAGAGAGGAAACAGGCTCAGAGACAGAAAGATGGGAAGCCGAGCCAAGAGACATAAGGAGACAAAAATACAAAAAAGGAGATGGAAGGGGAGAGGCATAAGCTCACAAAGAAGAAAGATAGGAAATGAAGACAAAGAAACGGAGCCTAAACATCCCCCATGCAAACCTCTACTGTGGAGCACCTGCTCTGTTAGTCATGACTGCCACCTGCCACTCCAGGCGGCCACTCATGATGCCCAGGACAGGAAAGTGTAATTGGATAGGTGGATGCGTGAGGCCAGGAGGCAGCTCACTCAGAGCTCCACGGCAGGCAGAGCAGATGTATGGGGGCCATTGCCAAGCCCCTGCCCCCCTTCCCCTTTTCTGCTTGCCAGGCTTGGGTGTAACTGATTAGAGCCCCACAGTCACTCCTGGAGGGTGAAAGGCCACCCGACTCTCTGCATTCCTGCCCCATGGACTCTGTCTCCTCTCTGGTCTGTTGTTTTCCAGTCTAATGAGTCTGAATAAAGGTGAGAACGTTATTGCCTTTGCTTTTAGCAGCTCTGTGACAAAAAGCCCTGGCTAGTGACATGGTGCAGGGACATAGCTGAGAAAATACACACGAAGGGCGACTCCCACTGTTCTCACCCCCGAGAACTCTTTCTAAGATTTCTCCCATTGACACTCAATTTTTTTTAATATATTTTATTGATTTTTTTACAGAGAGGAAGGGAGAGGGATAGAGAGTCAGAAACATTGATGAGAGAGAAACATCGATCAGCTGCCTCCTGCACACCCCCCACTGGGGATGTGCCTGCAACCCAGGTACATGCCCTTGACCGGAATCGAACCTGGGACCTTTCAGTCCGCAGGCCGACGCTCTATCCACTGAGCCAAACCGGTTACGGCGACACTCAATTTTTGAAAGCTCGTGACCACCACAGAAACTACCTTGTATACGCCTAAGTTGTTCTCCTGTTGATAGAGATCCAACATATATAACTATAAGACCATCTTAAAGGGAGGTAATCATGAGCACCAATGCCCTGAAGTAAAATGGTAATAATAACCAAGTTTACTAAGTCAGGACGGCAGGTACATGGCTGTTGCTTATTTTGTGTGTGTGCGCGAAGTTTTTCCGAGTGAACAGGAAGATAATTTTAAAAACTACATTCAGCTGCATAAAACTATGGAGGTGGCCGGTATTTTCAGAGATCAAGACAATGTTTAATTATCATAGGGTTATTCTGGCCTATTGAAAATAGTTCTCTGAGCACCACTTTTTGTATTCAAAGGGATATAGGCATCTTTACCCCCTTATATGGATCCTAAGAGTCCACTGTCCCCTTGACCCTTCAGCCAGAGAACTTTCTGGTGGACAAACTAAATAGATGAGCTATTCGACAAGCACCCTAACCTTTCTGGGCCACATTTTCCTCATGGTGTTCATTGAAAGAGTTGAGCCAGGTGACCTCTCTCAGCTAAGACAGGAGTGAATCGGAGAAAGAGGAATGGAGGTGCCGAAGGGAAGGGAGTACAGAGGCAAATTTGTCAGTGCTCCTTGAGTCGTGCTATTTTTAAAGTCACCATCTGCTGCTCACATTTTCAGTTTTTGTTGTGAGACAGGTGTGTGTATGAAAGAGAGAGAGATTTCTCTGTTTGTTTACCAAAGATTGAAGGGGGCCAAGGACTTGGGCCATGAGCCGGATCTTGGGAACCTGGCAGATGTTGACCTCGATATCCAGATGTTTCCAGCTGTGGCATGTGAAGAGCAAGCTTTGGCTTCCTGGCCTGGCTGGAACCTGCATTAGACCTTGGCCAGGGGACAGAGGCTGCTGTCACTCTGCAGTCACAGCTGCCATCCGCTCTCCTGGGGACAGCTGCTTGGGAAAGGAGAACTGTCTAACATTTCTGAGCCTCTTTTCTCGGTAGCTGGGACTCTATAATGCAACCCAGGGCCCGGGCTCTGAACCCTCCATTCCTGCCTCTGCTGGGCTGGCCTTGAGGAAACCGAGAGTGAAGGGGACTCGGCGGCAGAGCCCGACGGCAGGGAGGAAGCCGACAGAACCTGGGATCCCAAACTGTTTGCAGCAACTTCTTTGCATCTAGGCTCTTCCTGATCCCTCCGTTGGGACGTTGCCTCTCTCCTTTCTGGAGGCCCAGAGTTCCGTTGCCTCTTCTATGACACCTGGTGCCCCCAACCTTGAATCGCAGATTCTGGGGGGTATCTGAGTCTCAGAACTCAGAGATGTGAGGGGTGAATGGAGGGGCTCATCCCCAGGAGATTCCACCCCTAGAACCTCAGGGAAGACAGGGGAGAAGGTTGAATTGGCCCAGAAGCAGAGGAGTCAGCACAGGACTCCTCTCTAGTGTCTCTTCTCACTGCATCCCTCCTCCCACAGGACAATGCAGACACCCTGAGCTCTCCTGGGTGCTGGCTGGTCATTCCTCTGTGTAGCTGCACAGCGTTTTCTGGCTGGAATGCCCTCCTCCTGCCCCCTCCTGTTCACCTACCCAGGCACTGCCTCCTCTCTAACCTTCTCAGACCCCTCCCGGGGGCCTCAATATACTACACGATTGTACACAGCCTGCTGGGTGGCGACAGCTTAGAGGCTGTGTCTCATTTATCTCAGTGTCCCCAGTCCCTAATGAATGGGCAAATGAACGAGTTTGTATTCTTCCCTGGTCTTCCCTGGGGCCAGGAATTTTGTCACCGCCCCCTCCACATGGTAGCCTCACAGTAAGTGTGTTGTTGTTGGATGAATGAATCTAGTCATTCACACTCATACTGTAGCATACCGACCCACAGCGAGGCAAGACTGAGTCGATTGTTTTAAAGCAGCCGGTAAAAATGAAGTGTATTTTAAACATTTGGTGGAAGAGTCCAACGTTGCCCATAGTTTTCAGTCCTCACACCCCCAGTGTGAAGCTCCATGGCGACCCACCCAGCAGAGGTCACGGTAGGAGCACCCCAGGCACTCCCCACTTAGCTTAAACATGTCCCTCCTCCTCCTGTGTGCACACCTCCCAGGGCAGCAGGGACAGCTCAGGGCCCAGGTGTCACAACAAGCCGATCCAGTGGCAGGAGAAGGCTCCTGTGCAGAGTGATGGTCTGTGGGTCCCAGGACCCTCCTCCCCGTCATCTGCGCCTCCTGGGAGCATGTCTCAGGACGCTGCCGTCAGTGGGCATGAAGGAGGTGAGAGAGAACTCCAGGCAGAACAGGAGTCTCAAGTTCCCACTTGCAGCCTCTGGAGCCTCGGGCCACAGGTGGCGATGCCTGGAAGCCTCCCTTCAGCCCGGGCAGGAGTGAAGTCAGGGAGAAAGCAGCGCTGAGCAGACCCGGAGCTTTCTCATGCCCCGGGCAGCCTCTGTTCCCCCAAAGTTGAGGAGCTCAGGACCCTGCACCAGCTCTAGTTCTGCTCATGGCTTAAATTGTGACTCTGGGGAAGTGGAGCAGGGCCACCTGGTGCTGGACAGTGTATGCTGGAGAGTTAAGGCGTCAGAAAAGAGGGCGCTGCATTGGAGGGGCCAGTGAAAGGTTTGCGGAGGGAAGTCTTCTCTTCGCTTTCCTCAAGCCATCGGAGGTCCTCATGTCCCCATGGTGGACCCTTGTATAAAATGGGGAGAGTGCAGCCCCTCAAACTACGTGCTCAAGTCGAAAAGACAGACCTTGGTTCAGTCCCCAGCCCCAGCCTCAGCCCCCTCTGCCAGCTGTCCTATCCCTGTACAGGAGCCCGAGGCCACCACCGGGTCTCTGGCTCAGCCCTCCTGCCTAAACCCTTTCTGCACCTACCGGCTGCAGTCAAGCCTCGATTCTACATCCACCCAGGATGGGGCTGCGACCAGAGTGTCCATCTCTGTTTTATGGAAGGAATAACTGTTAACCTCCCTCACCCCTCCACCCGCTTTCCACTTCTTTGCTGCCCCAGATACCACAGCATTTCCTCACTGCTCTCTGCCTCTCCTCTCTCTCCGCAGGCCAGGAGGAACCAGAGAGGCCCCATGCTGGGCAGGAACCAGCAGCTGTGCTCCACATGCCAGGAAGTGAGAATGGTAAGCCTGGCGATGACAGAGATGGGCAAGGGATAAAAGGAATCCAGATTACAAATGAAGGTGTGAAACTATATTTGCAGATGGTGTGATCTTATATATAGACAGTTCTAAGGGATCCACACATACAAAAACTATTAGAGCTGATAAATGAGTACAGCAGTGTTACAGACTATACTAGTAAGATCAATGTACAAAATTAATTTTATGTCTATACCCTACCAATGAACAATCCAAAAAATTGAGAAAACAATTCCATTCACAATAGCCTCAAAAATTAAAATACTTAGGAATAAATTTAACAAAAAAAGTAAGACTTGTACAACAAAAACTATAAAATATTATAGAAAGAAATTAAAGAAGACCTAAATAAATAGAAGTAATCCCATATTCATGGACTAGAAGACTTAATATTGCTAAGATGGCAATACAACCCCCCAAATTGATCCACAGATTCAAGGCAAGATGGCAATACAACCCCCCAAATTGATCCACAGATTCAAGGCAATCGCCCTTGAAATCCCAGATGCCTTTCTTACAGAAATTGACAAGCAGATCTTAAAATTCATATGGAAATGCAAGAGTTACAGAATAGCCAACGAAATCTAGAAAAGGAAGAACAAAGTTGGAAGAATCGCACATTTTTTATTTCAAATATTGTATGATTCCATATATATGAAATGTCCAGAGTAGGTGAATCCATAGAGAAAGAATATAGTGGTTTCTGAGGACTTGGGGGAGGAGGACTGACTCCTGAATAAAGGAGTCATGAAATTGTTCTGGAAGTCGATCGTGGTGATTGCTATACACCTTTATTAATATACCAAAAACCACTGAATTGGACAATAACGTGGTAGATTTTATAGTATGTGAATTATGTCTCAATTTAAGAAAATGATTAGCAACAGAAAAATATTTTTTAAAAGTAAAAGCATAAAATGGATGAATATCAATGAAATAAAAATCCTAAGTGGTATGTGGCTTGGATAATTATTATTGGTGCTGAAGTGACCCTTGGCCAGGTGCTTCATTATTTAGTGTGGGGTCACCAGGGACAGCTGTGTGAAGGGCACACTTCACACCCTCATGTATGCTTTGCAGTGAGTTCATTCATCCACTAATTTGGTCAACAAATATTTCTTAAGGACCTGGAAATACTAAAGTACAGATGTGGTCTATGGCCTCAGGAAGCTGAAAGTCTATAAGGGAAGCCAGACATTAAGCAAATGACTACAATGAAAAGGTTATGAGTATACTAGTCGAGGCAGCCTAGGAACAAGGAGGTCATTGGGCAGCCATCTGGGACCTAGTAGTGCCTGTGAAAAAGTGATAGTTAACCTGAAACCTGAAGAATGTTGTGGTGGGCTCACCAAAGAAACCTGGAAGATTTACTAATCTTGAGGTATCTAACTTCAAAATCTGATAACCGGGGAAGAACAAAGACCCTATGACATGTGAGCAGGGTAATTCCTTCTGGTTCATTCATATCACAAAAGGATACAGTTCTGACTCTGATATTTAAACAACTTGAGTTTGTTAAGGTGGCACATACAGTCTATGAAAATTGGAATGCGGTTTTGGACAATGTTCTAAATGAGACTGTCTTCCTCAGGTACAACCAAGAATGATGATGATCCCAAATGATCTGAAACATTCCTTTGAGAATTGTATGAGTCATAGGTAAGTCAAAGGTTTAAATTGGGACATGGCATGGCTAATTCTGATTATATTGGTTTGGGGGCACAAAGATAATGAATTGAAAAATAGTAAGTAGAATGTTTAGGGGATGCTAAGGGATTTGGCTTCTTTTATTTTTTATTGATTTTGAAGAGAAAAAGAGAGAGATTTATTCCACTTACTTATGCATTCATTGGCTGATCCTTATCTATGCCCTGAATGGGGATCAAACCCGGAACCTTGGCCTATTGGGACGATGCTCTCTAACTGAGCCAAACCGGTTTCAGCGAGAATGGGCTTCTTGATTGGTTTTGTTTTTTGGTTAAACCAGATAGTTAGACCCAAAAAGTTTTTTTCACCCTGAAACTACTGTAGGAGGTTTCATCATCCTTTCCATCTTTGCAAGAACAGTGCAAGGAATAATATAGGAAATTTCTTTGACAACTTAGGCAGAAGTAAATACAAATTCTCTATGTAGATGGCATATCTCATTCAGGTCACAGAATCTGTCGTGACTCTGGGACATCCGCTGCACTCTTTAATACCTAATATTCCTTTTCGTTATCAGTTTGGTTGGTTGTCATTTGCTGCTTTCTTATCAAAAGCAACTATATCAGAAATAAAATCCAGGCAGAATTTTGATTAGTTGGATTTCAGGTTTTTTCCTGTATTTATCAGACAGGGAAGAAATACTCAATTTTTACGTTATTAAAAAACTCAAGCACGGCCGGCATGGCTCAGTGGTTGAGGGTTGACCTATAAACCAGGAGGTCCCAGTTCAATTCCCAGTCAGAGCATATGCCTGGGTTGCAGGCTCAATCCCCAGTGGGAGCGTGCAGAAGGCAGCCGACCAGTGATTCTCTCTCATCATTGATGTTTCTGTCTGTCTCTCTCTCTTTCTCTCTTCACCTCCGAAATCACTAAAAATATAATTTTTAAAAAAAAGAATAAATTCTAAAAACAACAACAAAAAAACCTTAAAACATGGACTCACCCTGCATCAGGCACCAAAGTAGGTAGAACTGCTTTTCAGTAGATGATTGGACATACAGTTACCCTTATATATGACCAATCAAAAAGGTTTTCTTTTCCCTCCTCACACAGAGAGCAATAATGTGGGAGGATAATAGGTCTTTATTACATTGGACAGCAGTCGCTGACCTCAGGGCCATTCGGTCCACATTGAGATGTAGGCTCCGGTGCATTAAAACCACAGTGCCTGGCCCAGGTGGACAGGATCATGGAGGAAATGGGTATTTGAGCATTACAGGCTCCAGCACCCATAACATTCACCTACACTGAGTCCATACTTCTAAATAGTTCTTATGTCAAAGCACAGTAAAAATTATTCTAATCAATAGTCTTTATGGGCTGCAAATGGAAAACTCAACTCTCGAAAGCCAGGGATTTCTGAGCAAAAGCTCACTCTTCTATGAGGGAGACTTTTGCAATTTGTTGCCCCAAATTTATATCTTACCAGTTTGGCACTTTGCTCAAAAGTACTTTGTTTTTGCAAGTTTGACCCAGTTGTCTCTGCTGCGAGGCGGTCTCAGTACCAGGCTAACAAGAGCTGGATTCAAGAGGCCATCGCTGTTTTAAAACATGCAAGGACACATTCCTTTCCAACAAGCCCTAGTCAAATAACTAACATGGTTTCTTGCTCTCCCCAATCAGAATGAAGAGTCTTCAGCCACCAAAAGCTCAGACTGAACCCAGGTGTTCCCCTGATGACATCTCAACAGGTTTGCTTTCTTTGGTAGTATGTGTGGTACGAGGCACACTGCCCCCGGAGTAGTAGAATGAAAAGTTTAATCCCCTAAGATAATTTCTAAACTTTCTGAACAAATTCCCATTCTCTTTTTTAAAAAAATTGGATTGATTGGGATAACATTGGTTAATAACAATATGCAAGTTTCAGGGATACAGTTCTATAATGCATCATCTGTATATTGCACTGTGTGCTCACTACCCAAAGTCTCGTCTCCTTCCATCACTATGTATTTGACCCCCTTTATTCTCTTCATCCTCCCCCACCCTTCCTCCCTTCTGGTAACCACCATACTCTTGTCTGTGTCTATGAGTTTGTCTGTTCATTTATTGCTTTGTATTTTAAGATCCACAAATGAGTGAAATAATATGGTTCTTATCCTTTTCCATCTGACTTATTTCACTTCACATGATACTCTCAAGATCTACCCTTTGTCACAATTGCCAATATATTCTTTATATATTTTCAGCATTTTTTATGATTGAGTAGCTCTCCATTGTGTGTATGTACCACATCTTCTTTATCCAGTTATTCATCAAAGGACCCTTCCGTTGTTTCCATGTCTTGGCTATTGTTGTGAATAATGCTGCAGTGAACATACATATATCTTTACAAATAAACATTTCTAAATTTTCTAGGTAGATACCAGAAGAGGGATTGCTGCATCATATGGTAGCTCTATTATTTACTTTTGAGGAACCTCCAAACTGTTTTCCATAGTGGCTGCATCAATTTACATTCCCACCGGCAGTGTATGAGGGTTCCCCCTTCTCTACATCCTCTCCAACACTTGTTATTTCTTGTCATATTGATAACAGTCATTCTAACAAATGTGAGGTGGCATCTCATTGTGGTTTTGATTTGCATTTTCCTAATAGCTACTGAAGTTGAGCATCTCTTCATATATCTGTTGGCCACTTGTATGTTTTCTTGGGGAAAGTGTTTGTTCATGTTCTCTGCCCATTTTTAAATTGGATTGCTGATTCTTTTGTTGTTGAGTCGTATGAGTTCTTTATATATTTTGAATATTAGCCCCTTATCAGAGGTATCGTTTGCAAATATCTTCTCCCATTTGGTTGGTTGTCTTTTTGTTTTGTTGATGGTTTCTTTTGCTGTGCAGAAACTTGTTAGTTTATTTTTGCTTTTATTTTTATTCTATTTTTTGCTTTTACTCTCCTTGCCTTTGTGTTAAGTTCACAATAACCTTTCTGAGACCGAGTTTAGTACCTATGTTTTCTTCTATGCATTTTATTTTTTCAGGTCCTATATGTAAGTCTTTAATTCATTTTGAGTTAAGTTTTGTGTATAGTGTCTGATAGTGGTCTAATTTCATTCTTTTGCGTATGACATTCCAATTGCCCCAGCACCATTTATGAAAGAGGTGTTTCTTTCTCCATTGTTTGTTTTTGGCTCCTTTGTTGAAAAGCAGTTGCCCATACACTAATTGTGTGCTAGGAAGGCAGGCCTGGTAGTACCAGTTAAGGTGGGAAGGGGACGGCATTCCCACCTGGGATGGCCTTACCAAGGCCCTGAACCTTCCACCCCACCGGTTTCCTAACACACCCGCCTTCTCCCAGAAGCTGCCCAGTGCTATTCTTACGTTCACTGGCTGTTGATGGAAAATGGAATAGTGGCTCTGTCTCCAGCTTCAGCATTGACCTAAGTCTCATCTTTTAGAGAAGCAACACTGGGCTGTCAAGGTGGGAGTGGGTCATTCTTCTGGGTGAAAGGATCCCAGGTTCAGTGCCGTGCAGGCTGTCATTTGAGAGACTTTGTCCATCTTCTCATTTGCTTTCATATTGACTAAAGTCGCCTCCAGTTTTTCTTTCATTTGAAACACACAGTAAGGAAAATCAAGGTCACTTTCTTCACTTCATACAGATGGGGAAGTGCAAGCTCTATCCTGGTGGTTGCAGAGGAACTAGAGCTAGAACTGAACTGAGCGGGCATCAAGAAGGAAATTTGAACATAGAAGGGGTATCTTGAAAAGGTCCCAAAAAGGAGGACCAGAGACTGTGGTAACAGCTGAGGTTTGGAGATGTCCACTCTTGTGGGGTGAAAGTCTGCTAGTCCCAGTGAATCCTTTTTTATGAATCCAAAGAGTTTGGCCTAGCCCGTGGACAAAGTGGACAAAGAACCAGGAGCTAAGAGTCTCCTCTCAGTGAAAGCCCTGCTGTCCTCTGGTCTGCAACCACCTCATTCTGTTGAAGCCAAGACAACACTGGGTGACAGACATGTGCAGCTGGTTTCAGGGGTCTCTGTAGCAGCCACCCAGTCCTGAGTTTCCTTTAACCTGGATTTTTTCAGGTCTGCCTCACAAAGGAATGAAACACACACACACACACACACACACACACACACACACACACACACCCTTCCCTCAGCAAGAATGTTTATCTTCCGATTCTTTAGGGCTATGTGATAAGATGCCTTTTATTAACTTACTTTTATTAACTTAATAGCCCTAGGAGTGTATTCCAATGGCCAACAGGAGAGCTAGACTTGGTGTTCTTTCCCGGACAGACCTGGTTCTTGCCCATAGAGTCCATCCAAGGACAGAACAGACAGAGCCTATGGAGTTGGCTAGGAGCTGAAGTTGGGTAGATCTACAGTTGATTCTGGTCATGATGTTTGTGATCTGAGCTTTGCTATTGTGTGTGCTCTCTGAGGTTATGGAAAAGCACTAGCCGGGGAGCAGAGACCTGGCTTCAGATCCTCGTCTGCCCATACAAGCTTTGCCCAATTGTTTAAACTGTTTGGGCCTCCGTGTTCCCACCTGTAAAACTAGAGAAATGTTGTGCCTCCCACCCTGCCCGGCCACCCCCACTCCCGAGAGAGCCAGAGCCTTAGTACCAGCAGCCTTCACCTTTGATCTGCCCAGAAAAACTGCTGACATGTCCCCAGGCCTGCTGATTTATGGGGCTGAGACATGTTCCTGCCACAGCGTGTGCTGCTCATTGCTGCAGCGGCCACCCACCTGTGCTGCATCGCCGTGGACATGCTACAAAGACCAAGTAGCTGACTCATCCCACAAACATTACTGCCAATTTTGCTGATTGCAACAATGATTTCTAGTGTATTCAGCTAAACTTCATGTATTATTGATAATTATTGGTGAGAACTAAGTAAGTGGGAAGAGCCTATCTTTGTAAGTGATGGGGAGGGATTTGTTCTGAATCCATTTGCCTTGACTCTGGCCTAGAGTCCCGAGTCCCATGACACCCACAGGCTCTTGTCAGTAAACATGGGTAGACATGGATGCCTACGGCCTGGCACAGCGTGTGATATGGTACAAGGAGCTCTGGGTTTTGTTCCTTGGTCTGTCAGTGCCCGTAACCCTGGACCTCTGTCTCCTCTTCATCAGAGCGATGAGCCTAGACTGGACCCTGGGCTCATTATTTTGTGACTCTCAGCTCTCATTCAGCTGGAATGAGAAACATGTTCCAGAGAATTCAGGTCTCCAGTTCCCTCCGTCACTCAGTGACTTCCAACGGGAAGCTATTATTTCATGTACTGTTTTTTCTCCTTTAAGCCACATGTCTTTTGGGAAAGTTGAATGTTAACAACTTTTTGTAAATAAAATAATATTCAACTGAGAGGTCAGGATGGTAAGGATTCTAAAGAATTCCAAAACAAATTATGTTATAAAACGAAGGTTCCTTTGAAAATGCAAGCACTTTTCCCTACTGTGGCCATTTTGTCAGATCATGTTTGTGTGTTTGGCGAGCAGAACCACATACGGGTCCCTGAAAAGTCTTCTGAGAATCGATTCCTCTTTCCCTCTGACTCATATTACAAATCTGGATGCATTTTATCTTCATTTTTATTTAATCGGCCACGACTGCTCATACTTGAGTTTGGTTTCTAGGCACTCCTTTTTGGCCTCTTTGACAAGAGCTGCAAAAGCTTAGTTGGGGGCGGGGGGGGGTTGCGGGTGATGGTTCTATTAAAGGGAATCCTGCGAATTTTGAGTCTGTTTCAGAGGGTTGAAGAAGTCTTTGGTGGCCTTTGGTTATTTTGAGTTTCTTTAAAAATAGAATCTAAGCAGCACTTGTCCTTCCTTCTTGCACTGCCCTCCAGAGAGCATTCACTACAGACTGCCCCTTCTGGGCCCCCGGGCAGGGGCCTTCCACGAGCTGTTGTCAGACTCCTACAAGGCTCTGCGGGGGATACAGCTCTCTGCCTCGCCCAGAAAGGAGCCCACGGGCAAGACAGTGAGGCAGTGAGTGATGGTGCTCAACACTTTCCACTCCAGAGAGAAAACAACCTCACCAAGCCAGTCTCTCATCATTGCCTCCTGTCACCAAAACAGTGAGTCAAGTTTGCCTCCCTCAGAGTGGCTGGAATCCCCTCTTGCCACCGTCTCACACACTTCTCCTAAAGACGATGGCTTTATTTATACAATTATAAAGATTTATTGATTAAAATGGAACATTTTGAGTGTCATCAATTTTATTTTGGTAAAGATTCTTAATTGTGTTATAATAGGCACCATTTCCTTGTTTCTAAGACATGAGTTTTCTGTGGAAATTATTTCAGCTCTTCCTTCAGGCCAGGGGGCTGGAGATGGCTCCTGGAGGTCCCTCAGGATTCAGCCCATGAAGAAAAAAGGAGATAAATGGAGGTCGCCCTTCTGTCCTTATCTCTGTCGGTTAACTCTGGTAGATGACAGAGGATACTGTGATTCTATAACTGGAATAAGGTACAGGGTCAGTTGTAATCCTTGAGGACAGGAACTGTGACTTGTCTTGCTCTCCTCACGACACCTTGCGTATATCAGATGTTCATCTAATCTTTGTTCAATCCAGTTCAAACCCAGTGCTGCGTTTTGTAGTTGCTTATTTTGGTTTGAGGGCCTGTCTCACCAGGTGTGTCCTGGCCCATGTATCAGCAGTGTCAGGGAGACCAAAGAAAACTCTAGGCTTCCAACTATTATATTTATGACCCCAAATTCCATGCCCAGCTTCAGGGGGGCTCATAGAGATCAGGCCCCTAACACTCCTTAGGAGGAAATGGCCTTGTGAAATGCCCAGGCTAAGTGGACCTTGGGCCAACCTGTGAGAACCAACCTCAGTGCTGACTCTATTTGAAGAATGGGCTTCAGAAATCTCTAACAAATGGCCTAATGCTTAAAATGACCTCATTTCTCTCCTTCTCTCTCTCTCTCTCTCTCTCTCTCTCTCTCTCTCCTTTTCTCTTTCTGTCTCTCTCTACACACACACAGACACCATAAAACCAGAAAAACTACCTTGATTGCCCTATATTCCTGGCAGGCTATGATTCTTGGTTTCAGTTCAGTTACAGTTCAAGAACTCCAGAAATAGTACATACTTCCTCTCAGGGTATGCATGAATTATGATCCATTTTAGATAAGATAATTGTCAAAGGACAAACAAATCACAGATAAAAATGTTTACTCATCTGCCTCCACCTCCTCCTTCAACTTGATATATCCAATAAGAGGATTTGGAGTATATATACCCATGCAATAATTGGACCTTTTGAGGTAATCTGAATATTATGTGCCTAGTGAGATAAAATGCTCTCTAAACCACATTAAGAAGTCTTCATCTAGCCAAACCGGTTTGGCTCAGTGGATAGAGCGTAGTCCTTCGGACTGAAGGGTCCCAGGTTCGATTCCAGTCAAGGGCATGTACCTTGGTTGCGGGCACATCCTCAGGGGGAGGGGCGTGCAGGAGGCAGCTGATCGATCTCTCTCATCGATGTTTCTGGCTCTCTATCCCTCTCCCTTCTTCTCTGTAAAAAAATCAATAAGATATATATTTAAAAAAAAAAAAGAAGTCTTCATCTAGAGTTCTAGTGTTTTTTGAAAATCTCATAAAAAAGAATAACATTCTGGTGTTTGCTCCTGTTCTAGTACGGTGGTTTTTGGTCTTAGGAACCTTTTCACTCTTAAATATTGAGAGCCTTAAAGAGCTTTTTTTTTTAAATGTCGATCATATCTACTTATATTTATCACATTAGAAATTTTAAAAACAACAGTATACAAGCACACCTTTCATTAGTTGTGAGAATGATGATATTATATGCCATGTAGCCTCTGGAAAACTCCACTGGGCCCTTAGGGGACAAGAAAAGTAAGAAAGGCAGATAACATCTTAGTATTATTATGAAAATAACTTTAACCTCACAGACACCCCAGAAAGGATTTCAGAGACTCCTGGGGGTCCTCGGACCATCCTTTGGGAATTTCTGCTGTAGAGAACATATCCTCGCGTCTCCAGCCTTCCAGGGAAGGGTTGCCAGGGTGCTGGAACTCAACCACTCGGGTGAGTAAGCTGGTCCCTTGGCAGAGGTATTGGAAAGAAGGCAGCAGCAGGTTTTCAAAGTTCAATGATATTGACCTTTAGCATCATTTACCTCCCTTTGCTCACATGGTCTACTTAACAACCTCATTTTGGTTAAATAATAGAGTGGATTGTCCAGTTGGCACAAAAACTAGTTCCCTTTGAACTCTCATTTCTCTATACAAATCCTTGTTCGTTTGTTTGCTTTTGGTTACGTATGAACTTATTTCCCAGAATCTGAGGTCCAAACGTGGACCCAATGCGGCCTTAGCACACGAGTGCTGTCTCGTCAGCAGCTTTGCTGGTCAGCCAGCCAGATGGTGAATTTCCTTTTCTCTCTAGTCCTGCAACCATTTCCTGGAAAGTGATGACACTAAAGACAAAGATCCTAAATTAGGAAGCCCAGCTCTTGACAAGCTTCTCCACATGACCAACCCAATCTCACCATTTCCATTTAAACTTGCAAAGAGAGCCACACAGATGCTGCCAGACTTTTTTCTACCAATAATAGTGTTTATATGAAGTCATCCTCCGCATCCCACACTTGGCTTCTCTCTGTGCTGTGGGGTCAAGTGAGTGACTCTGCTACCGCTTGGTGCAGTCTTTTCTGTACTGAGCTGGATCCGTGGAGGTAATAATTTGGACTTGTCCATTATTATTTTACCTTCTGTATGCTCTCATAAATGGGCCAGGACAACTTCTTCACTATAAGCATCTACTCATAATGTTATTCCTTTTTCAAAGTCATGCACAGTATGCACAGTTCAGATTAATTTTTTAACATAGATCATCTTGGGTAGTGTTTGTCTGTTTCCAGGCTGAAGCCTGATTTTGCTACTTTAAAAATATATGATTCTCATGATAATAAAAATCCACGGACATGAGTCAGACTTACTCCTTCCTACACTTTCATTTTCCTTCACCCCAACAGGGAACTTGAAAACCAATCAATCAGCACAATTCTTTCATTGCCAGGAAGGAAGAGAAATGCTGTATTTAGGAAAATCCATGTTGTAGCTTTTTAAAAAAAAATCAAGTATATAAGGCAAAATCATTGTCACCTCCAGTCCCCAGTTTAAGCTGGGACATCCGGCAGGCTTTTACTGCCAGGTGTTCTGCTCAGGGTCACCCATTTTTTGCCAGGTCCCCAACTGCCACAGCTCATGGGAGGCCTGCCAGGGGCTTACTGGCTCCTGGCACACAACTGAGCTGCCCGTCTTCCTGAATATGTAAGAACCATACAATTCCAAGTAGCAGAAGTGTAATAAATTAGGCAGAACTGCCTTGTCTCCTCCAAGGAAAGCCCTGGTTGGGTGTAGCTACTCAGGTTGGGGAGGTCTACCTCCTCCAGGTAGGTAGGAGGGCATTACCCAGCAGAATGTAGAAGATTTCTGAGAAGAGGAGGAAGCACAGAACTTGTTTCTATTAATAAAGCTGTACACTAAAGTCTTAAGAATCGAGGTTAAATTAGGAAATTTAGAAATGGGTAAAATGTCATCTCTAGAGAGAACAGGGATGATCAGTCCTGTTTCAACTATGTCCCCTCAAACCCATCTTAATTTAGCACTTTAGTAAGTACTGTCCCTGTTTCGTACATGGAATTCTTGTCTCCCTAGAACAATGTATAACTTAATGAAGACAGAATGTCCCCACGGAGCTACTCAGACATATGCAAGGTATGCTTAGATGGAAGAAAGTGATGTTAGGTGTTAGGACCCTGCCTTTGAAGCACTTATCGTTTCCACTGGAGAAAGAACACACATAGAAAGAGCACATGGACAGGCCTGCATGTGAATCAGCATGAGTTACTCCCCACTATAAACTAAAGCCACAGTGATTATTACAGCAACAATGCTGCCCATGGCATCAACCGTCAGCTCCCCGGACAGGAACAAAGATGCAATTGTGTGATCTTGTCAGAAAAGTTGGTTAGAGGAGATAGAGCCGCACTCACCCACACAGGGTGTTATCTCTTGTTCTTTGCAGATGTTTAACTGCCTGACCCGCAGGGTGCAGAGCAGTAAAATCAGGCGTTGGCCGGTGCCTGCTGTTTCAAGGAAAACGTGTTCCTTAACCTCTTGGGATTGGCCTCCACTCAGTCCTGTGGAGCAGAGGTCATCCTTAGGGATGTCAGTCACATTGCCAGAGTCAGGACACCCTTGCGCCCTAGACTGTCCCATGGAGAAAATTTCATAAAGACTAAGACATACATGAAACAATAAGAAAGACAGTGATTGACGTTAGTTGGCCCTAAGGAGTGGCTGGAGGACAGAAATTGGCAGAGGGAGAAAATTGTTTTATAGGACAACTTGACTTACACTTTGAATTTTAAGCCACATGAATATTTCATGGACCCAAAAACAAAACAAGATCAAACAAACAAACAAACAAAAACCCTTTCCAAGTTGTCAGGGCCTGTCTAGCTTTGGAATGGGACACCCAATAAGCTACCAACATAATTATTTTCTTTGTGACTCACAGACAATACAGGCCTTGGACACTACTAAGTCCAGGCAGCATCCCGTTGGAAGATAAAATCTATCTCTGGCCCTTGGAAGTTTTGCTACTAAAATGCAACATGATTATAGTAATCAGTCATTAGCAAATGTTGTAGTTCGTTATTAATAATTATGTATAACAGGATATTGAATTAAATTACGAAATTTTTATTAAAACATTTCTTACATACCGTTATATTGGCTGGGCTGCAAAAATATTCATGGGCCGCATGTGGCCCGCGGGCTGCGAGTTTGACATGCTTGCTTTACACTAACAAGAGTCAAACCCATACAGTGTGCAGGTACAGAGGGTGGTCAGGTGAGCATTTAGTGTGTGGTAACATGCTCAACACTGTGAGTGAGTTCATATTCCATCTTTGCCATAACCCTACACGGTGGGTAGGGTTATTATCGTCATCATATGGATGAGGAAATTGGGTCTCATAAAGACCTGTGCCCAGATTCACACCAAGGTGGGAATTGAACTCAGGTCTTCCTGAGCAGGTAGCTGAAGCTCCTCCCACTACCTTACTCTGACTCTCTGTGAACATGAACCTTGTTAGAGTCTACTTCAAAACAGCAATTTCCTCTGTGGAATCCCCTACCCCCTGAGAGATGAAACTGGCTACAAAACAAAACAAACAAATAGACAAACAAACAAAAAACCTCCTCTTGTTGGGTTTTCCCAGGGAAGAAAGTGCCATTTGCTTACTCCAGACAGAGGCTTCTGTTCTCTCAGCCTGTTAGATGTTCAGTGTGATTGGCAGGTGTGGAATGGAGTGGTAGGGAGGGACCAGTGGGAGCCAGGTCCTGGCATGAAACTTGCCCACTGAGATAGACAGGGTTTGGGATGTGGGTGGTAGAGGGGAGGAAGGCAGAGTACACCCAAGTGCTTGGCAAAGACAGTGAACAAGCCTTATACCTGTTAGCCCTGGTGGGTATTTTTGTTTATTTGTTTTTTTTTTAATATTTTTTAATTGATTTCAGAGAAGAAAGGAGAGGGAGAGAAGATAGAAACATCAATAAAGAGAGAGCAGCCGAAACCGGTTTGGCTCAGTGGATAGAGCGTCGGCTTGCGGACTGAAGGGTCCCGGGTTCGATTCTGGTCAAGGGCATGTGCCTGGGTTGCGGGCACATCCCCAGTGGGAGATGTGCAGGAGGCAGCTGATTGATGTTTCTGACTCTCTATCTCTCTCCTTTCCTCTCTGTAAAAAATCAATAAAAAAAAAATTATATATATATATATATATATATATATATATATATATATATATATATATAAATAAATAAAGAGAGAGCATCATTGATTGGCTGCCTCCTGCATGCCCCATTGGGGATAGAGCCCAAAACCCGGGCATGTGCCCTTGACTGGGATCGAACCTGGGACCCTTCAGTCCACAGGCTGACGATCTATCCACTGAGCAACACTGGCTAGGGGGTGGCCCTGGTGTTTTGATTGGCAACCACAGTCCTAACAAGGCGGGGAGTGCAGCAGTGGGGAGGGATGTGGAGGTATTTGTGGAGGGGGAAGGAGGTCCTTGGAAATGTCAAGGGCAGGAGTTCAGCATCTTGGAAGCCTGGTGTCTGTGGTGAAAGCCCAGCCCTTCCCAAACACCAGCTGCCCTCCTTCCTGACCCACCTGGCTTTACAGCTTGCCTCCCACTTCCACAATCTCTGAACCTTCGACTCTCTGCTTTGGGCCTGGTCACTGAACCTCTCTCGTGCTGCAAACTCAGGCCTGAGCCCCTAGAACACCAGAGACAAGGCCAACAGTGGCCCATCTCCTACTCATTCTCTGCACACATATTTGTTAAGCCCTCGTAGGAGTCAGGTACTATGGGGAGGCGCTGGGAAGACGCTAGTAATGAAGAAAGCCAAGGCTCCTGCCCTTCATGGAACCTGCATCTAGTAGGGGGGATAAAGGATAAGCAAATGGTGGGCAAGGGCCCCAGACACTCTGTCTTCCAGGGAGGGAACTTGGGCCACACACATTGAACTGTAGTTACACTTAGTGCACCCTTGGAGCCACTGTCCTGGCTGTGGTTCAGCCTTTGATGTATAAGGTCTTGCTGATGTCATATCTCTTCCCCAGATAATCAGACTCCAGATGGCTCTGCAGCCAAATCATGATAATGTCCTATCAGTCACATCAGAGTCTTACCGTTTTCTGACTGACTGCAGGTTGTGAACTAGTCTTTTCATTTGTTGCCACATTCTTTTCAGCAGCTTTCTCCCCTAATGTGGCACCCTCGTTCCACAGCCCCTTTCTCACAGTGCTCGGCTTTCTTACTAATGACTGGATTACTATACCCACACGAATGTGCCTTCATGTACTATTACTCTATGTGCTAATAAAGAAAAAATAATGCCCGAGATGAGGGATCTAATGAGAAACCCTTCCACAAAGCTGAGACATCAAAGGGCTACAGAGGTAAACAAGAAATACTAGTAAGCCCATCCCACACAGAGAAAGAGCCAAAACATTTTGCTCCTCTTGGTCTTGGCCCCGGTGGAGAGAGGGTGAAAAAAACTGGTATGAGAATTGGAACGACAAGCTGGCACTCATACACGTGGTCTAAGTTCACGCTGGTAGTGTGGCCCTTTCAGGCTCAATGTGAATTGGTGTCAGGGTGACCGCCAGAAGCAAAGAAAATCCTCGAACCGAGGTCTGCAAGGCCCCTGGGGTGGCCCACCTATTCTAGCAACAATTAAAATCAGTACTTTCTGAGGCAACCAGAGAGCATCCGTTAGACTTCACTGCGGAGGGATTTAGACTCTAGTCTCTTTCCCATGAGTTTAAATCCTGAGCAGAATATTTTGTCTGTTGCGACCACCCCAAGGTTACAGGTGGAGAAATTATGGTTTACATAGCACGTTGACCACGGCCTCAGGATGCTCATTCAGTGCGAAGAGCCATTTCTTTTTCCCTGGAAGATTGGAACTTGTCTGAGCCAGGCATCTTTGGCCCTTCCTGACATGAAAGGGCTGGATGGTCGCTTTGATTAATTATGACGGGGGCACCTACAGATATGAAGAGAAGTTGCTGGAGCCACGAGTCCTACTTACTGACAAGCTTCCTAGACACTAATTCTGGGCAACGTAATTGGAAGTTACGGATGCTGGCAAAGGTTTCGAGAGGAACCATACAGACTGTTGTAAAACAGGAACTAGGTGGGGTGGTAGAATTCTAGGTTTTTCTACTAGAAGGAACCCCAGAGACCATCTAGTCCAACCCCTCAGGCCATCTGGCAGGAAGGCTGCTATTATATCAGAAATTTGCACGACTGAACCTTTTGCATAAGTCAGGTCTCTTTTTAAATGCCACTTCCTCATCTATAATAACCTACCCACAACCCAGGATGCTTAACCCTTTATTCTGCTTCTTTTATCTTAGCAACTATCACTATCTGATACTGCCTGGAATGATAGTTAATTGTCAGCTTGCTTTTTTTTCTGTCTTCTCCCACTAGAATATAGGGACCTTATTCAACTCTGTAAGTCCATGGCCAGAGCAGTATCCAGCCCCAAACAGAAACTGAAAAAATATTTGTTCAGTGAGTGAATAATGAATGAATCAATGAAGAAAATAAGGACAATGGCTTTAATGATTTCAATTTCAGACAAACGGAATTCCATATCAGGTCTCGACTAGGATTGAAGTGTCTTATTTTCTCTGAGCAGCTAGCTGCAATGTTTCTATACACAGCTCTTAGCATAGTACCTACCATATGCACGGCTCTTATAAATGTTTGCTGGATGAGAGAATGTACATCATACACCTACCCCTCGTGGCTGAGCTGCCTAATTCTCTGGAAAAGTGATAAAGCTTATCATCAGGGACAATGATGTATGTGATGCTATTAACCAAAACAAACAAACAAAAAAGGTTGGGAAATAAAAGTAAATTTTAGTGACATGAAAAATGGAAAGAGGTGAAAGATTAAAGATTGAAAATGAGGTGATCTTCAAGGCTGAGAGTGGGATGCAGGAAGGCTTCAAAGAAGACGAGATTGAAAATGTCATGTTTGCCCAGTCTCTGTCCTCTCCTCTCCTCTCCTCTCCTCTCCTCTCCTCTCCTCTCCTCTCCTCTCCTCTCCTCTCCTCTCCTCTCCTTTGTTAAGTAACCAAGAGACATTTTATAAAACCTTCTCCCAGGAGGGCTTTAAAAATACGAGCCCCCTGCCCTTGGCTAAAGTACCTGGGGGTCTGCCCTGAGAATGAGGGATAAACCAAGTGGCCTTGCCCAATCTTCCAGCCTTTTGCTATTCTGAATTTGGACACTGAAACACTCGCATTCGTCATTCAGCAAACATTTGCAAAGTGCTGCTCAGTGCCAGAGAAGAGTCAGGATCCTTTTGGTGGCAAGTGATGGAAACTGAATTTATATCTTTAAAAAATGCAAGTGCACTCAAAGGATGCTGGGTTTTCTCCCAGAGCAACCAGGCCGCAGGATGGCAGGGATGCTGCAGACCCAGGAAGCATTGGAGCAGGGACCTGGCTTGGTGAAGATTCATTCTCATCTGTTTCCTTCTCCCTGGGTGTTGTCTTTCCCCTTTTCCTGCAGCAGACTGTCTGTTTCCACCTGGTGGAAAACCCGGCACTGGTGTCTGCTAAGCTTTATGGCTTGTAGCTTTTGGCCGCTGTGTTTCCAAGCCCCAAACTCCAGGCCAAGTCACCTCGCCCAACTTGGAACCCTACCTTGTCATGATGCCATCAGTTATGACCACCGGGGTGGGGCTGCATAAGAACTCCCCAAGGATGAGATGGTGGGAGGAGAGAGAGACAGCTTTCAAAGGAAGTAGTGAAGCTGAGCTGGCAGTGCCACATATACTCACGATGGCCTGGTACTGTGTCGGACCGAGATGACTAAACCTTGATACCTGTAAATCAAGGCGTCAGCCACTGTTGGACAACACAAAAATGCTGTTGTCAGTCACAGCCTCAGGAAGTCTGAGTGAGGTGCTGTCCCAGGAGCAGCTGAAATTGGCATCTCTCTTTGAGAAGGCTGCTCCCTGTGCTTGGTCCAAGGCACATCCTGTCTCTCCAGTTCGGGTTGGCCTGTCCCCTGGAGTCAGTGATGACTGGAGGTGAAGGTGATCGCTGAGAAACTGGTTTGTCCACTCTTGAGAGTCTGGAAAAGAGGTCAGTGTGATTCTATTGTGCTTGAGCAGGACGAAGTGGGGAGTAAGCAGAGTAGATGGGGAGAAAGAAAAGAAAAAGAAAAAGAAAAAACAGGAGAAGAGTATTGGTCATGGAGTTAATACAAAATTAACTCCAAACCTCACTTCCTCGCAGCTCTCCATGCCTTCGTCCATCCACGAACAAGCAAGACAATATCTCCTGAGAAATACCAAGAGGGTAAAGCTTTTTGATCTGGGACCCACTGACCCCAGACTGTCCCTTTTGCTCCATGGCCGTGTCTGTCCAGTGTTTCCCCAGATCAGCGCCTCCTTGGAGAGGCCGTATGAGACGGAATGAGCTATTGGTGCCCTAGCTTTGTTTCCATGACAACTGATCTTTAGAACTCACACCTTCCCAAGCAGGAATTCGTATGGTTGGGGTAGGGATGGAGTTGGCTTATGGTCACATAGCTGGGCTTTTCAGAAATCCTCCAAAGGGTTGGCATTTCTTTTAGAGATATATCTGTTTTCAATGCTTAAAGTAATAGTGATTTTTCCCCTCATGGCCACAGCCCAGTAACTCCCTTGGGAAGGAAGAAATGTTTTCTCTACTCTTCTAGGTTTTTTCTGCTGTTCTAATAATTAAATAGTCATGAGACAGATTAATAAGACAAAAATAACCAAATTTAATTACATATGTTATGTATGGGGACCTCATATACACAAGAGAGAGACCCACATATATGAGAGGTTCAGAGACAGAAGGGGAAAGTGAGGTCCACATGACATTCTGAGCCAAGGAGGGGGTCAGGCTTCAGAGGGGCCACAGCCTCCTGCAGGGTGGTAAGAAGAGCAGACGGGGAGTAATTCTATGCTTGTCCTGCCATGTAGATCAGTGGTTGAAAGTTATCTCTGGTAATAACCCTTCTTGTGGGGAAGTCCCTCCGTTTAAATACTGCGAGGCAGTTAAGGGAGGAGCAGACACTTCTTCTGAGCCCACAGGTCTCCATTGCCTTCGGCTCAAAATAATTCCCCTGCCAAGGGAGCCCCTCCTGGGGAGACCTGTTCTGAATCCCTTCACCCCCAACAGGCCTGAGTGTGCCTAGTCACCTGTGAGTCACGTGGGAAAGGAGGAGGGAGGAATGTGTGGTGACACCTGGCCCAGCCGGATGGCCCGCATCAGGAGCCCTCTCTCCTCGCTCCGACTAGAGTGTCCAGTGTGGGGACATTTCCGGGGAAGGAGTGCCTCAGGGTTTCCCGAAGGTCAAGAGACAGATTGGCGAGAGTCACCGAGGAGATGGAGGTGTTCAGGGAGGTGAGGACCACAAACAGCGACATTGTAAGAGTACCGTGACTGACGCTGAGTCCCACCATTAGGCGTGAAGGAAGACTCTGCCACTTAGACATCTCCCTGCATCTAGCCAGCACCGTTCCTGGCACACAGCAGCTCGGTAAATGTGTGTTGATTGATTGAATAAACATTTGACATTGACAGGCATGTCTCGGGTTATGTTCAGTCTGGGACTTTCTTAAGGCACAAGATTTGCCCTCGAGGAATGAAAGAAATCCCTTTCATTTTTAAATTCTCCCTCTTTTAACCCTGGGTTGATTTTTCTTAAATGTGCTCCTAGGAATTTGATTCCAAGCAATTGGCTCCAAGTGAGAGAGAGAGAGAAAAGGGGTTTCGAGTGAAATTGAGAAAAGGAGAGACATTCTGGGATCCAGAAGCCAAGGCCAGGATAGGGATTTCTGTGGGTTCCCAGGACTGGGAGGAAGGGAACTGTGCGGCAATCTTCCCCGAAGACCCAGGCAGCCGCTTGGAGTTCTCTGTGCCTCTTTCTGATTTGTAAATAGTTGAGATCTGGGGCTGTTCACAAAGCCACACCTCTTGTTTGTGCCTGAGAATTGCTGGAGCAGACCAGCTTCAAACTGAGAAGCAACAAGGAACAGATAAGCAAGAAGAAGTAACATTTGTTTCTGAGACATGACAACAGCAGGGGTGTTCATAGCTTAGTGGCCAAGGGCAGAGTGGCTGGGGTCAGCGATGGGTCACACCCTGACCTACACCTTACACCCAAAACTAAATGCATCCTGTCAAGAAAAGTGCTCAAATATGCCTGGTGCATAATAAGTGCTCAATAAATATCAACTAATCCTGCTATTATTGTTTTTAAATGCTTTCTAAATCACAGTTCCAATAAGGCCATTCTCCTGCGTAGAATACTTCAGTGGCGGCTCGTTTTCCCTGAATTGCAAGTCGTTAAGCCTAGCTTCTAAAGCATTCCGGGTTGGCGTCCACTCTCATCTCCTGCCTCTCCTCCAGGACCACCCCTGAGCTCCAGCATTACTTAGAGCCCTTTGAAGGACCTTGTTCTCTTACCTCTCTGTGCATGTTCTCTTTCTTTGGCTGGAAATACCCTTTTCCCACTCACTCACCTGCAGAATACCCATTTGTCCCTACCACCGCCTCTTTTAGGAAGCTCCCTCTAACATGCCCCGCTGGCGCTGGGATCTGGGGCCCCTCCCACAAGCTCTCAACTAGTCACAATCCCCAACACAGGCATCTGACATTCCTTCCTTCCCGTTCTTCCCAGGGACTCTCTGATCCTTGGGGGTGGGGTGGGAGGGGGTGGCATGTTGTTCTCCAGCGTACACAGAGCAGGTGTCCCCCAGAATGCTTGGAATCTCAGAGGAGGCTCAACAATGACGTTTCCTATAAGAATCAGGGAAGGGAAGAACTGAAGCCTGCCAGAAAGAGAAATACATAGAAGAAATCTGCGAGTCCCTCACCTCTCCACCCACTCCTCCTGCACCCTCACGATGGGGGCCTGGATTCTCGCCCTTATTATTTTCCACGTTCAAGTTCCCTAAGGTAATGGTGGAGCCACATTCTCCGGTGACCCGTGACCCAGGTCTTTGATGCTGTTACCTGCACCGACTCTGATCCTCAGCAGGAAATTCTGAGCTTCACGGAGTCAGGTTTTTCCAGGCTGAAGATGAATAAGTAATAACCAATTGCCTTTACTTTTCCAAGAATCCTCGGGGGCCTGTCAGTGCTCCAGTGGGTGGAAAGGCCCTCCCACTACACACTGATTGGGGAAGTGATAGCCCTGAGTCGCTGGGCATCAGAGGTGGGACCAGGAGGGCACACGCGAGCTCCAGCCAACAGCAAGCTCCAGCCAGCAGCAGGACTAGGGGAGATGATGGACAGCCTCTTTTCCCCTTCGGAATTCCTCGTCCTGGACACAGAGCTCTGGAACTAAAACTGGATCAGGGGCAAGCTAATGAGAAAATCATATATTTGAACAAGATTTAAAAATAAAAAATTATGATTAGCATTTATGAAACCCGATGAACGTGTGGCCAGCCAACTGGCAGGCCCTAGCAAAAGCAAACTCCCCAAGTTACCCAGGGGAATGACCCCCAAGGCCCAGAGTAAGGGTTAGGACAACAGGAAGAGGAAGAAAAATATTCCGAACGAATCAGGGGCTTGGTTTTTCTGCCATTTAGTGTGGCTTTGCTTTGAGACGAATGAGTTACAAGCTGCTGAAATACATTTCGTAAGAGGTTTGATTATGGCAAGTGGAAGAGACTGCAGCATATTTCAGTCTCAAGTGAGAATAGACACAAAGCTTTTCCCTGACTTAGCAACAGGCAGAAGCATGGTCAGGAAGCTTCTCAAAGTTAATGAGGTCCCTCTGGTTCAGAGGTCACGCACCACTGATCATTACAGCTCTTGTCCCTGCTACGGGGCCTGTCGTTTAGTAGATGCCTAATAATGTGTGAATGCAATGCAATATATAATACATGTTCGGTGAAGGAATCATGACCTTTTTTTTTTTTTTTAGTTTTCAAAGCTCTGATTTATAGCATTTGACAATTTCTGTGGTGCAAATATTCCCAGCAAGGCCACCTTCAAGCCACCAGTGGCTTAACAACAAGCTCACAAAATTTCTAAAAAATTAACTATCAGCTCTCGTGACCAGCAGGAGTCAACCCGGGGATACTGGTACTTGTGGCAGGACATTCCTGGCTCTCCGTGCTCGCAGGCAGGGCAGTACCAAGTGTGTTCAGTGTATTCAGCCCTCAGAAGTTTTGCACAGACTTTACCGTAGAAGTTTATAAAGCCAAATAAAACCAGGGGACTAAATTTCGGGGCACTGCTCTTGGATTGGGGAGACGATGGACAGGGCAGGGGCTTTGTGCCATTGACTCTCTTGGTTTTTATTCGTCATGTCAACAAGTATTGCCTCTCCTCCTTGCTCCACCCCAAGTCCCCAGAACTGTGCTAAAATTCAGAGGAAACACCAAAATCTGTACCCTGCCCTTGGGGAGCATATATTCATCCTTAGAAGGCTGGACACACACAAAAGCAATGAAGTAAGAATACAAAGCCCATCAGGCTGTGGCCAGAGAGGAGGAGTCCCCAGAATCAGCATATGGAGACCTTCTGTAGCAAGTACACATAGATCAGCAAACCGCCTCTCTCCCCTCCCCCTCACCCCACCTGCCACCAGACTATCTGCCTCCCCAGGCCCTGAACATCCTCTCCATTTCCTCTCTCATACAGAAAAGGACCCTACTGACCTATCAGACGACCTCATAGGTATCTGTCGAGAAGTGTACGTTCTCTCTCCCAAATACCTTCTTATCCTGGTTTCCTTGATGACCAAGGGTACATATGTGGAAACAACTGCCTGGAGTAGAAGAGAAAGTCTGTCCTTACCAGGATTGAGAAGTGGGCACTCCCAGCCCCTCAGCAGCTTGGGAAAGACTCGCCGGAGCTGGTCTTCCGGCCACCTGTGTGCCACACGCCAACCGGACTTCCTCAGGGAAGGCCTGCATGGCGGCCTTGCAAACCCAGAGACCTAAAGTAACCACAAAGGATGGTGTGAAATGAAAACTTTTTAATTAAAAAGCAGTCTCTGGTGGGTGGTCATGTCTTAGGCCAGTATCTTCCCTGACAAAGATCAATTTTGATTTTAACTGAGCCTATTGTCTTTTTGCATCTAGATAACATACCTTTGGAAAGTCAGGGTGACTTGTAGCTTACCTTTCTCCAGACCCCTCAGGGCACAACCAGTGTGCCAGGGGGAGACCACAAATCCCCTCATTGTTATTGTTATCTTGTTCATTGTTGACTGGTAACTATCCTGTACCCACCTATGTAAAAGATGCATGTGTCTATCATTTTACTTTTTATCCAATCCCAGAGGTTTCCCCACTTTGCTTTCTCCCTCCTCCCTAATCTATCACCGATGGATTTCATGTGACCCACTTACAGTCTCCACCTTCCATGGTAATTTATAAAAACAGGTGAAAAATCACCATTCTCTGGAGCATTGTCTCAATGCATTGAGATTCTGCTTCCTGGCAATTATTGACAGTTTGGCTCAAATAAACGCACAAAAATTCTTTACAGGTTTGAACGTTTCTTACGTTAACACCTGCTTACCTTATCAGAATTGTAATCACAGGAGGAACTAGCAAGCATGGAACTGGACAGTGAGGCCTCTTGTGTAAGCCTGTGTTCTTTTGTCTCAGCTCAGGCACACCTCTCATTCTTCTCTCCTCTCTGGAACCAGTTCATACACTGGGCAGGCACCTCTTGTTTGCTCGAAACCCAATCAATTCATCACCAGATGAAGCTGGCTCTCGGCAAAACGTCTCACCCCAGTGTTTACCACTCACCAAGCTAACACTTCCTGCCATTGTTCTTGAGTCTAGGAATCAGGCCTTCACTTGGGGAGCTTCCCCCTCCATTTAGCTTGGCAAGGAGGGGGTGGGCATGCACAAAACACCCACCTGTAAATATTTCATGATCAACTACTGTCAGCCTGGTGCTGTGCTCAGCACTGGGAAATCAAAGGTGAATATGATGCTTATGCCCTGGTGTTGAAGGAAGAAGGCAGGCAAGTGAGCAAGCCATCGGGCCACAGTGTGATAAGAACTAGGGTTATGAGAAAGTCTGTAGTTACCAAGGGTGGGCTCCTAATCCAGCCTTGGTGAGGAGCAGGGTTGGGAAAGGAAGTCAAGGATCAGTCCAGGGGAGCTGTATCCTAAGGATTGGTAGGTATTAGCCGATCCAAAGACAGGGCAGCCTGTGGGGACAGAGAGGAGGTTCAAGAGCCAGTGTAACTGCTGGGAGGTGACCAAGCGCACAGTTCGAGCTGACTAATGGGTCCTTGCATCTCAGAATATTTGACTTATAGCTGCAAAGCACTGAAGGTTTGATCACCAGCTTTCCACTGCCTTCGATGATGGTGATTATACCAATTAGTATTCACATTGAGCCTAGGTTTAACAAAAGCCCCCTGCCCTGAGCTGTGGAAAGAAATCTTAACATGTATGGAGGTCAGGAAAAGCAAAACCAGGTTTCCACCCCCTGCCCTCCAGCTCTGGTAGAAAACCCAAGGCCAGGAGCCACTAGTGTCAGTCACAAGGGATGTGCTGGCGCAGCTCAGGGGCTCAGCATTCTCTCTCCTCTTCGTTTCTCTCCTCTCTGGTCTAGTGAGCTTGCAAACTGTCTGTGTTCTGCAGAGCTTCCCTGTCAGGTCTCATCGGGACTCCTGCTTACCCAGGCACACACACCACAGCTTTCCCGCAGATTCCTCCTCCCGCCCCTCCCCTTCCCCAGCTCCCTCTGCTCCACCCCATGTGCCCCCAGGCCCTGAGAACTGTGACAGCTCTCTGGGGACAGAAACTCAGAAAGGGGAGTCCATCTCTCATGGGAGGACTTAAATGTGGGACAAAACGTGGAATGTGATTTGCATCTTTTCTGTAGGGTCCAGAGGAAGCCGGATGGTTAATTCTCTTAGGCAAATCCTTAGAATTCTCAAGACCTGTCTTGTTTCCACAGTAAAAGTAACAGTCTTAGATGGTCAGATGATTGACATGGGTTATCTCATTGAATCCATCAATGACCTTATGAGGTGTTTACAATTATTATCCTTTTCTGCACCTCAGTTTCCTCATCTGTAAATTGGGGAGAATAGTGGCACTTACCTCATAGTCTTGTCAGGATTTAACAGATAAATAGTTAAGTACACAAGAGCTGCACCCGGCATATAATATAGTAAGTGCTCAGAAAATGTTAGCCGTTATTAATGTGAGGACTCTGGGCCATAGAGGTTAAGTAACATGGCCAGGATCACACAGCTGATCAAATGAGGCCAAGATTCAGACCCAGGCAGTCTGACCCCAGAGCCTGACCTCCTGAAGGCAGTGGCTCTGCTCCATGGAAGAATTAAGGAGCAAGAAGGAACCAGGAGGGACTTTGGGTTGCTAGAGAGAAGCAGGAGAATTCCTTTGGTTTGGGTAAACCAATGGTTCTCAAAACATGCCAATTCTCAGGCCCCATCCTGCTCTCCTGAATCTGAGACTCTGGGGTGAGACTCGATGCCCTGTGTTGGGGAGCCCCCCAGGTGGTCCGAGGCACACTGTGGACTCCCTACTCAGCTCTCTCATCCCTGCCATCTTCCTTACTCCTCGTCGTCCCCACCACATTATGTAAGAACAGAGATCCCTCATCCAACTTGGGGACAGAGGTTTAGAAAGGGCTCAGCAGAGGGCTGGCCCAGAGGGGCTCCTGGAAGCCCCGCCTCCCTCCCTCTTTTGTCCGGGAGCAGGGGGCAGTGGGACTCTCTGGGGTCTCACCTTCTCCAGCACTCCCTCCAGCAGTTTAGGAAACAATCCTCTGAAGAAGCGGATGAACAAAAATGTGAATTAATTTGGCCTCATGACCACATCGCGTGGAGGCTTCAGTTTTCTGAAATAGTAGGTCTCAGACGGAGAACATGGATTTGGGACTTGGGTTTTGGTGGTGATTATTGATATCCCCCCAAATTTGCTAAAAGTAGAGTTCAAGGGCCAGAAAAGCTAGAAAGAGACTAAATGAATTCTGTCCTTGGAGAGTGTACCTGTGGGGTATGGGGGAGGCAGGGAAGGGGTATGTATAACTGAGGCCACTGTAGCTTTAAAAGCTGGGCCAGGTGGGAAAGCTGCAATGTCAGTGTGGGTCCTGGGTTTTCCCAGAGGCAGTTACAAAAGGATCGGGAAGAGGTGGCCCGCGCTGGGGATGGGGAACTGGCTGCATTCTTTGGCAACTTCATATTTTTTAACGCTTTCTCCCTGACTTGGTGTGGAGCGGCTGACAGAGGGCTGAAGGGATCCTTCTTATTACTTAATACTAAGCACCTACCCTGAGTCAGGCCTGGGTTTTCGGGTTTTTTTGTTTGTTTTGTTTTGCATGTGTTCACTCTTTTAATTCTCCTAGGTCTTGGAGTAGGTATCATTTTTTCATCTTTGTATTATAGATGGATTTAAGGATCTTGAAGCACGGGGAAATTAAATAATTTGCCTAAGGACAAACAGCTCCCCAAGTGGAGGAGCTGGGGTTAGGATCCGGGCCTTGTGGGACCAGAGCAGGCCCCACCTGCCATTCTGTCTCTTTGCTGAGTTTGTGTCAACAGCACAGGAGAAAAGGAGAGGGACAGTGGGGAGGGGAGCGTGGGGAGAGACACTGCCCACTGCCCATGCTGCCTCGGCCACATCATCCTCTGGCCTGGAGTTTGATACCCACGGCCTGTTCGTCAGAGTCAGGTGGCAATGACACATGCGGTCCTTTGCCAGGAGCATCCTGAGACAGGTATCAGAGTCCAACCCGCCAGCTGTGTTGCACTGACTGACGGAAGCAACAGCTCAGGAGGCACCAGCAGGGCTGCCCTGGCTCCAGGAGTTTGGCTCAGGCCTTGCTGCTTCTGGGCTCAGGAGGAAACTGGCTGGGATCAGGACCTCGTGGCCTGCGGGCGGGGCCTGCCCCTCCGTGAGAGATTTTAGCTAAGAGGCTGGGTGGACGGGGGTAACCGGCCTCTCCCCCACCTGCCCACCCTTCCCTAGCAGGCTTTCCTCCTGGATATTTTCAGAGGGAAGGGAGGACTGCCTTCTGTATTTCTCTGGGGGAAGGAAGTTAAAAGCACACAGGCCTCCCTGGGGAGGTTGCGGGCACTGCCAAGCTGCATAGGAAATGGCCAGCTCACCCCACCTGCCACATGACCTCTCCTGACAGGTGATCGAGCAGCAGTGTCACTGAGGAAAAGGACATTGCCTCTTTGTAAGGACTGCACGGTGTTTAATAGGTGGGGTCAGATCTCCTCCTCCTAAAGATGCGGTGATGTAGAGAGCAAGCCAGGACTCTCATACCCATTCTACAGAAGAGGAAAGTTGGGTCAGCCCTTCACAGAGGGGCTGACTCGTTGTGCGACTCTGTTCACGCTTGAGGTGGGCGCGGGACCCACGATGACTGCCGATGCTTTCTAAAATGGGAATACCCACCACGGGTCAACTCCAGCGCTGGGCAGTGAATGCTCAGGCTTGTAGCTCTTGGCCTCTGAACAGTGTGTGTCTTGTTTCCTTGTTAGAAGCCAATCTAAACTTAAATATATGTAAAAAAAAAAAATCATGTTTTCCCCTATTGGACAGTCTAAAAAACCCTGGCAAGGATATAAGGAGCCATTGTTACCTGGACCCGGACCTGAGGGAGGCTTCTTTGAGCTGAGACCTTTATTTGCTCCTGCCCTCAGACATCTGTGCTTCTGGTTCTCAGCCCTTTGAACTTGGACTTGAACTTACATCATTGGCTCCCTGGTTGACAGGCATTTGGGTTTGGACTAGAACTCCACCACTGGCTTCCTCAGCCTCCAACTTGCAGACAACAGATCGTTCAACTTCTCATGCCCCAGCATCGCATGAGCTGGTCCCTCATCACCTCTCTTTCCATACAGGTTGTGTTTCTCTGGAGAAGCCTGGCTAAGACAGTGCTGAATAAGAAAGGAAGGGCACCCCAGAGAGGGGAGGAAAAGGTGAGTTAGACCTTGAGAAAAGGACTGGATTTAGGAAAATGGAGAAGAGGAAGAGCATGCAGCGGGCAGAGGCGAGCAGGGAATCAAAGCGCAGGAAGCTCGTGGTCTATGAGGAAGACAGAGCCGACAGGTTACCCTGGCTTCATGCCCATCAGTGT